CTTCCCCTCCCGGGGCTCCAGCTGTGCTGGGGAAGCGCTGGGGCAGCCCTTTCCACGTGGCTGGGAGTGGGAGGGAGGAGGGGGCGGAGTTAGGGTGGGGAAGGGGCGGAGTTGGGGCGGAGCTGGGGGGTGGGGAAATGGGCGGGGCCAGGGCCCGTGGAGGGTCCTCTTTTTTTATTTATTAGATATGGTAACCCTACATCTCACGGCCGGTCTGCTTCCCACTGCAGAGCCCAGCTACCCCAAACCCAACATCTCCCTGCTGAGCCCCAGCGGGGGGGTCTCCCTGGGTGGATCTGTGGCCGTTCAGTGTCGGGCGCAGTGCCAGGGCGTGCGGTTCGTGCTGAATAAAGAGGGACGTCATTTCCAGCCTGTGGATTCGAACGGGTTTGAGGTTGTGTTTCCCATCAGCAATGTGAGCCGGGAGCATGGCGGGAGCTACAGCTGCTCCTATCACAGCAGATCGGAGCCGTTCGGCGTGTCGTACCCCAGCGACCCCGTGGAGCTGGTGGTGAGAGGTGAGGGGCCCGGCTCGGCGTCCCCGTTCCCAGCCCCACCCCCAGCCAGATCCTCACGGGGGCTCGGTGCCAATGGGACACTCAGAGCCAGGCTCTGCCCTGAGCCCTGACCCCGCAGAGGGGACGCCCGGCCGGGGAGCAGGGACGAGTCACTGGGGGGGTTCCCCAGCCGGGGGTAGCAGCAGCCCCTGGAGACTCGGGGCAGGGAGGCGACTTTAATGCTGCCCCTTGTGCATGGGAACTGTGAGTCGCTATTAAATCCCGTGATCCCATCGCCTCTGTGCTCCAGGCCCTGCCCCAGGCAGTGCCTCGGCCGGGGAAGAATGAGGCAGGGGCTGCAGGAGAAGCGGTGGCTTGGTGGACACGGTGCTGGGCTGGGACCCAGGAGATCTGGCTCAGCTCCTGGCGCGGCCACAGACTTTGTGTGATGGGAGCACACCGCGGTTTTCAAAAGTGTCCTTCCTTGTGGGGGGCCTCAATCTTGGGGGTTCTCAGGTCGAGCGCCCACAAACCGAGACGCCCACAGTTTGTGGAGAACTCTGCAAACGCTGGCCTCAATAGCGCTGGATCCCTTGTGTTGCGGGTGCATGTAGGGCCCCCGCCATGATCAGGGCCCTGTTGTGCCAGGCGCTGCATAAACACAGACTGAAGAGACAGTCGCTGGCCCTGGTATCTCACTAAGGAAAGTGAACATGTCTGTGCCTCAGTTTCCCGCTGTGTAGAATGGGGATAATGAGGCCTTCCTGCCTTCTGGGGGGCTGACTCCTTTCCCTTTCTGAGTCGGTGTTTCAGCCCCTACCCCCCC